ACGTCGTCCGCAAACTGGTTGAGGGGGCTTAGCAACCACCCCAAAGCCTGGAGGGGGTTGTGGAGCTGCCCATCCCACCTCCGGGCAATAATGCTCTTCACGTCGGTGAGGAAGGTAGCTCGGTCCTTCGACGCCAGCAGCTCCGTCTTCCTCATGAAGAACGACGTTGCGGGAAGTGGTGACGGGAGAGAAAGGCAGGTGAGGTGGGCACATGCAACGTGGAGACATCAGGGCAGAGGTAAAGCAAGTGAAGGGGAGGCAGATTATGAGGCTTCAAAGGGGGCGGGATCGCGCGGTGGTGATGTCCTTACCTGCCGTGCTTGCCACCTCATTAGTCTTGATTGTAGCATCCAACATCTGGCCATAGAGCTTCCCCATGAGCAAGGCACGCTTGTCCACGGCACGGAGCACCTCGTACACCGGCGACATGAGCTGCAGGATCATGTCAACCGACTCCCAAAAGGTGTCCTCCAAAAGCACCTTCCGAATCACCCGCCCTTCATCAGAGTTGGCGACGGGGACATCTCGCCACTCCTCGCTAATCACCATCCGCCGCAGCGGCTCCTTCACCTTCAAGAACCTGGTGATCATGATCACCTGAGCTCCGAAGCGGGTGGTTCCGGGGCGCACAAGCTCAAGTGCCGAGAAGATCTGGCGAAAGAGATTCACGGCGCTCGCGCTATTCTTCACCATCATGACGACGCGGTGCGCCTCCGCCAGCACCCGCGCAATGACGGGAAGGCGAGCTAGGTCATGCAACATCAAGTCCAAGCAGTGAGCCACGCAATTAGTAAAAAAAACCGCGGGAAGCCCGTCCTTCAAGAGCGCGGCAGCGTTCTTGTTGTTAGCAGCATTGTCCATCACGACTTGCACCACCTTTGTGTCGCCCGCCTTACAGATTCCTCGGCGGATCAACTCCGCCAGGTAGTCGCCAGTTTTCTTGTTTGTCTTGGAGTCCACCACCTCCACAAGCACGGGGCCGGCGTCGTTCTGCGCAATGACGCAGACGATGCTGCGACTCTTCAAGCACGACCACCCGTCGACTGAAATGCTGCAGCCGACGGTGGTCCACGTTTGCTTGAGGGGGGACACCAGCTCCTCGCACTCTGCCTTCAGCTTCGCGAGCAGAGGGCCCGACACCTTGTAGGCAGATGGGAGCTTGTAGGACCTCCCAAACGCTACAGAGGCGTCGACGAAGGCCTGCAAAGCCTTGGACCTGAGGGGCGGGAGTGGATGAGATATGAGTATGGAGCGTGAGGCGGACGTGATGCGCGAATGGACTTTGCTGGACGTCCATAAGCGAGTCGAGTCGGCGGAAGTAATAAAGGGCGGGAAGTGGGAAGGGGGCGGGAGACCGAGAGAACTCACTGAGAGCATCGAAATGCCCTGTCGTTTTCGGTCATGGCCGTCGCCCAGAGGTGGCCGAGGCGCTCCCGTGCAGCAGACTCGGTCATATCGAGGATGTCTTGCTGGCCGCAACGCCGCCCATGCGCCCCTTGGGACGCCGACACGGTTGCCGAGCACGTCGACGACTGCTCCATGTCTCCCTTCGTGCGGAGATTTAGCGCGAAGTCTGACGTGCACGCCGCAATGTTCTTCAACTTCGACGTTGGCGTACCGAAGATGTGCTCTTGGATACGGGTGGCATTCGGGGTCACGCTCTGAAGGCAGTGCTTGCACTCTGTCCGCGCCAGCTTGCCACATGGGAGAAGGGGATCGCGGCATCGCGGCAGAGCTAACTAAACGCGGTCTACAGGCGACGGAATAGACGTCGCGACAGCGGCGTGGCGTTGGCTGGAAAGAGTAGAGAGAGTGTGCTAGGTGTCGTGTAGGTTCATGAACATGAATTCCTGGCTGAATTCGTCATGATGTTTATACCTGTGCTGCTTGGGAGAAACTAGAGACACGTTGGTTAGAGGAGAATGGTTGGAAGGGACGTTGAGAGACGATGGCTTTTGAAAACGCGCCGCTGACGCATCGCGAGTGTTGCGCTGTGTGCGAAAAATCATGTTGCAGGGCGCGAAGTTGTGCAACAGTCAGTTCGCGAACAAGTGCAGAATTTGCAACGGATTCGTCAGTTCTGCTCAAGGCGCGCTTCGACAACCTGAATTCTCGCGCGTCAGGAAAATGTTGACCTGATAGCGCGCCCCGGTTATCGTCAGTTGGAATTCAACCCAGAGATTTTGCATACTCGATATTTGTGTACACCTTGTAGGCTTAATACAAACGTTCGAAAACATTCGACCGTATTTTTCAAAAGAGAACCAAAATAACCACTTCAACCGTTTTAAACTGTTCTAAACGGTCGAACACTTCGGTACCGTACAGAGGGGGCAGAAAATGAAAAAAAAAAAGAAAAAAAAAATAAAATGACAAGGTCATTTTTTTTAGCCTTGCCTGACTGGGTGCTCTCACACACCCTCCAGCGCAACCCAACCATCTGCGCCAAGGCTTTTCGTCGCATCCTCTCGCAGCTGCTTAACGGAGTTGGCGCTAGCCCCTCAGGCACCACCTTCGAAATCCTCCGCGACGCTGCGTTGTCCAACAATGACATCTGTCGGCATCTCCTAGCGCTAACCAACTCCGCCCTCGCGGGGAAGCTATGCCCCGAAGCATCGTCACTACTCACAGGTTCCCGCCTCCTCACTTTCTCCAAGCCCTCTGGTGGCACTCGGCCCATTGCGGTCGGCGAAGTTCTGCATCATGTCTTCGCCAAGGCGGCCCTTTTCCTGGCCGCAGCCCCAGCCCGCGTCCACTTCGCTCCGATCCAGTTCGGCGTGGCGATCCCTGGCGGCGCCGAGGTGATCATCCACGTCACCCGTGCTTACCTCGACGTCAACACCGGACACGTGGCACTGCAGATCGACTTCGCGAACGCCTTCAACGCCATCGAGCGCGCCGCCATTTTCGAGGGCCTCCGCGGGACCGATCTCAAGTTCCTAATCCCTTTCGTCCGCCTTTCCTACGGCGCGCCTTCGGATCTTTTGTCAACAGCGAGTTGGCGCACCGCCGCTGTCGAGCGCGAGGGGTGTTCGCCAGGGGGACCCGCTGGACCCGCTCCTCTTCGCTGCGGGCCTCCATCCTTCGTTCACGGCCACGGCAGCCGCCTTCCCAGAGGTCGTCATCCTGGCCTATGCGGATGACGTGACTCTGCTTGGTCCCCCAGCAGCCTGCTCTGCTGCCTTCCATCACCTCACCTCCATCATTTCTGCGGGTGGGCTCCAGCATAACCCCGCGAAATGCGAAGCCTGGAGTCCAAGCCCGCTGCCGGCGTCAGCCTTGCCTGATGGCATCGCCCCCAGTGCCGAAGGCCTCGAAGTGCTCGGCAGCCTGATTGGGTCGCCGAGCGCCTGCGCGGCTGCCGCCCCGCTGCCGCTGCTTTCGGATATGGACCCTCAGATCGCCCTGCTGCTCTTGACTCAATGCGTCGCTCGGCGGGTTGCTTACCTGCTCCGCTCGACACCGCCCGACACGCTACCCACCGACGAATGGGACACCTGCGGGGAGCGCCTTTTCCGCACGGCGCTTGGGGCCTGTCGCTTGCCGCTGCCGTATGGGTCCCATGAGCAGAGGCGGATCTGGGACCAAGCTTCCCTGCCCACCACCCTCGGGGGCCTGGGGATCAGCAACCCTGCCGTGGAAGCTGGCCCGAGCTACCTTACCAGCGCTGCGGCTTCTGCCCATCTGTTGACCGACCTGACTGAAGTACTGCAGGCGGTAGCTGGCCTGCTCGCGCTGTTCGTCCCTGACGCTGCTGCTACCACGCCGTTCCCCCGCCGCCTCGCCTCCCTCGAGACCGCCCTTCCCCCTTAGGCTGCTGAGCTGCTGCGGCGCGAGCGTGCCTCCCCGGACCCACCCAAGCTGCAGCGTGCTCTGGCGCTGCAAGTGCAGGAGGAGCGTTATACGCTCCTGCTTGACCAGGCCCGCCAGATGCCGCTCAACCCGCTACAGGGGCACACTCAGTGCCTCCTGTCCTTGGTGGGCCCTGGGGCTGGCGATTGGCTCCACGCCCTCCCCATGGCCTCCGCCTTGCGCCTCTCCCCCGGCCAATTCTCCACGGCGGTCGCCTTCCGCCTCGGCCTCCTGTTCTCGACGCCCCACGCGTGTGACTGCCCCAAGCGCAAGCCCATCCAGGACCCCCGCTTGCCCAACCACCTCCTCAGGTGTGCCAAGGGCCCTGGACGAACGGGCACCCATCAAGGTCTTTGTGATGAGTGCACTCGCATAGCCACTGAGGCCGGCTTCATCACGCGCAAGGAGACCAACCTCTTCCCAAGGGTGGCCAACTTGTGGGCGGACGTCGCCATCCGCCACCCCTACACGGGGGCAGTATGACCCCACTGTCACCGACCCTATCTCCAAAGAGGACCCGCACGCTCGCAAAGGGACCGGCTGGGCTGCACGGGTGGCGGCCCGGGGGAAGGAAAACAATTACAGCCCTCCAGCTCGGGACGAGTGGGTTGGCTTCTTTGCCATGGCGGCAGAGACTTATGGGCTCACCTCGCCGGGGGTCTTCGGGTTCCTCCGCCAATGTGCGGAGCTGGTTGCGAAGAAGCGGTACAATGCGGCACCTACCTCGCGCGAAGCTGCCAAGATCTTCCATGAGTACCGGCAGAGGTGGTCCGTCACTCTCCAGCGGGGGCAAGTGGTGGCTCTGAGCACCAAGATCAACCACGCCCTGGCGTCCGAGGAGGCGCCCTGGGGCGTGCAAGCTGAGCCGCTGCCCGTGGGGGATCTTCTCCAAGTACTTGAGCCGGTGCTGGGGGACCCTTAGGGTCCTCCGGTCCGGGCTGTTAGGACTTACCTTCGTGGTTGTCCATGTGCCTTGCCTGTACTCTTCTTCTTATTAATACAACGGACCAATTGAGGATATGGTCTGTGGGTTGATACAGGCACGCCTTTTTCTCTGGTGGTTACAGGCAGGCATGGAAAGCTGTTGCTGCTGGTTGCCTCGTCAGCATCACTATTCTCTTTTTTCTCTCTTTTTTTTCGCCCGCCAGGTGTACAGGGGAGTGCTGGCGTCGGGGGAAGTGGTGGCAGTGAAACGAGCCAAGGGGCATGTGAAGGTGGGTCAAGGGGCATGATCAGGTGAATTATCAGGTGAGGCGAGTGCAGGTGGGTCAGGCAGCATGTTCCGGTGAATTCTCAGGTGACTGTTCACGTGAGACACGTGAAAATGGGTTAGTGGGGCTGATGCTTGATACGCGGCTCCAGGTGAAATTTCAGGTGAAATTTCAGGCGAAGTTCCAGGTGAGTAATCGAGGCATCAAGTGATCTTTTTTCTCTCGGAGCCATCCTGGAGGCATCTACGTGTAGAGTAGTTTCCTTGCCTCTCCCACACCATCTATCAACCCCTTTGAGGCAAACTGAAATATACCACCACCCCTATCCTCTGCCTCTTTGCCCCTCCCTTGCCAATGGTTGCGCAGCAAGACCCGTCTCCTCTCAGCCTGGCGGCGCTGAACCGAGTTCCGCAACGAGGTGACTTTGAGTCGACTCAAAGCTCTCAGCCTGGTGGTGCTGAGAGGGAATGGATTTCCGCGACAAGATCCATGTGCTCTCAGCCGGATCCCTTCACCCCCTTGACCCCTTGACCCCTTGACCCTTGGATCCCTTCACCCCGGGATGCTTCTTGATCGCCACCAGCTGTGCAGGGTTGAGCTTCGCAACACGATCAGCTGCTCTCAGCTGTGCGTCACCGCACCGCATCCCCGTGGCACATAGACGGTTCTGCCTCTCGATCACCATCAGCCCGCCTTGCGCCGTTGCATTCCCCTCTATACCCACCAGGTGGGCGGGGTGGAGTTCCGCAACGAGATCACGCTGCTCTCAGCGGTGCGTCACCGCAACCTCGTGGCACTGAAAGGCTTCTGTGTGGAGGCGGGGGAGCAGCTGCTGGTGTATGAGTTCATTGAGAAGGGCACCCTGGAAGACATGCTGCGCGGTGAGAGTCAGTGCTGAATGTTGCACGAGAGTGCTCAGAGAGGGTTGGTAGAGAGTGCTCAGAGAGAGTTGGTAGAGAGTGGTCAGCCTGTGTGTGGAGGCTGGCGAGCAGCTGCTGGGGGGTTGAGTTCACTGCAAGGGGGACACTTGAGGATAGGCTGAGAGGTGAGAGTGGGTGTTTTGATAATGCCTGCAGATGAGAGTGGGTAGTCTGCTTTTGAGTAGTCACCTTCTGTGTGGACGCGGGCGAGCAGAGGAGGACGCTTGAAGACGAGGGGGACGTACTGAGAGGAGAGCGGGCGAGCAGTGGGGGGCGGAGGAAGATGCACTGAGAATCGAGCGGGCTGCGCTGAGAGGCTTCTGTGTGGAGCAGGGGGAGCAGCTGCTGGTGTGTGAGTTCGTTGAGAAGGGGCCCGAGAAGACATGCTGAGAGGCGAGCAGAGCTAGTGTGGCAGGCTTTTCCTGTGGAAGGGGTAGGGGGTACGGTCAGCTTTTGATTCGAGTGCAACGCAGAGGGGGCCCCTAGAAAACATGCTGAGAGGCGAGCAGAGCTGGTGGGCCTGTGGAGGGGTAAGGGGTATGGTCAGTCAGTGCACTCACAGGCTGCTGTGTGGAGGCGCGGGAGCAGCTGCTGGTGTGTGAGTTCGTTGAGAGGGGAACGGTGTTCTGTGCAGCTACTCGCCCTCAATGGTGTTCATTGAGGGAGGGTTGTAAGTAGTGCCTTCCCAAGTATACCCATCCCCCATCCGCCCTCCCTCCCCCTTCTATTTTCGAGGCGCCTCAAACACAGAGCCGTCCATTTTTTAGGCGCCTCAAGAATAGGCTCCTAACGTTGACAGGGGGGCGGTGTTTTGTGCAGCTGCTCGCCGTCTTAACTTCATCGAGGGAGGGTTGTAAGTAGTGCCTTCCCAAGTATACCCATCCCCCATCCACCCTCCCTCCCCCTTCTATTTTCGAGGCGCCTCAAACACAGAGCCGTCCATTTTTTAGGCGCCTCAAGAATAGGCTCCTAACGTTGACAGGGGGGCGGTGTTTTGTGCAGCTGCTCACCGTCTTTAACTTCATCGAGGGAGGGTTGTAAGTAGTGCCTTCCCAAGTATACCAATCCCACATGCGCCCTCCCTCCCCATTACCCATTACCAGCCAACTCAGAGCAGCCTCTGATGTGGCAGCAGCAGGTCGACTGTGCTCAGCCAGGTCACCTGCCCCAGAAATTGCTCATGTACGTGTTTTGAGGTGCCTCAAAAATAGACTCCTCATGTACATGCATCCCCATGTCCCCCACCACCCCCCCCTCCTTCCCCATTCCTTTCCCCACTACCAGCCAACTCAGAGCACCCGCTGACGTGGCGGCAGCGGGTTAACATCGCTTGTGGGGCGGCCAGTGGATTGGACTACCTGCACCACCAGATCAAGCCGCCCATCATCCACCGGGATGTGAAGGTAGGTGGGTGGGGGTGTGTGTGTGTGCGTGCAAACGTGCATCGCCTTTGGGGCGGCCTGTGGTTTCGACTGAATGAACCGTCAGTTCAAGCCATCCATTTTCACCGAGATGTGAAGGTGAGTGCATGCGTGCTCATGTGTGCATGTGTATGGGTGTGTGCATGTGTATGGGTGTGTGTGCATGCAATCATGCATTACATGTGGGCTGGCCAGTGGCTTTGACTGCCTGCACCATCAGACCAAGCCATCCATCATTCACAGAGATGTGAAGGGGTGTGCATGGACATGCATGCATCACATGTGTCTTTGTTTATGAGTATGTGCATGGACATGCATGTGTGCATCACATGTGGGCCGGCCAGTGGCCTCGACCATCTTCCTGCCTCCAGCATCAGATCAAGCCACCGATTATCAACCGTGCCGTGAAGGTAAGGAAAGAGGGAGTTTCTGTTTGTGTGCAGGCACACACGCATGTGCATGCGAACGTGTATCCCTTGAGTTGTGTGTGGGGCAGCCACTGGCTTTGACTGCCTTCACCATCAGACCAAGCTCTGGTTGGTTTTTTAGAATTCTCAAACACCGCAATGTGAAGGTACCGAGGGAGTCTGTCTGTGTGTGCTATAGATCCGTCCTGCCCCCTGCCCCCTCCTCCTTCCCCCTTTATCCTCGTGCCCTCCCTCCCCCCTCCTCCTCTTCCTTCCCCCTACTTCTTCTCCCCCCTGTCCCCGAGGCGGAGAACATCCATATCACATTCTGGCTTGAAACCAGGGTGGCTGGCGTTGGAAGCTCCGAAGCCTCAACAAAAGCACCCGCCACGCTTGCTCACTTAGGATTCCACTGTCCCTCGCTCTACCAGGGCGACCACCATCCTTATCACAGCGGACCTCGAAGCCAAGCTGTCTGACTTTAGCAGTTCCAACGCCTAAAGGAATATATCCCCCCTCCCCCTGCCCCCTGCCCCTTTCCCCCTGCCACCTGCCCCCTGCCCCCTTCCCTGTGCCCCTTCCCCCTTGCCCCCTTGCCCCCTTGCCCCCTGCTCCCTTTTCCCAAACCCCCCCACCGCCTCCTCCCCACCAGACGGCCAACGTCCTCGTCACAGCGGATCTTCAAGCCAAGCCGGCCGACTCAGGTATCTATAAGCACTGAGCGGAAACACGCGCTTCCCTCCCCGCCCCGCCTACCACACGCCCAACGTCCTGATAACAGCGGACCTCGAAGTCACGGTGGCTGATTTTGGTACCTCCAGGGCCTAAAGAGCATTCCCCTTCCCCCCCCCCCCTCTTTTCCCACCAGACGGCCAACATCCTGATCACAGCGGACCTGGAAGCCAAAGTGGCCGACTTCGGCATCTCCAAGGCCGTGCCTGAGGAGGCAGAGGGGAAGCTGGAGACACAAGTCAAGGGCACAGTGGTGAGTGCAGGGGAGTGTGTAATCGCCACTCTTGTTTCTGCCACACACCCTTGCATGCACACTTTGTAGCCCTTAGAGTCCTTCTGAGACGCCTCAAAAGCAAGACTCTATTTCATGGCAGAGCTGTTTTGAGGCGCCTCAAAAGTAAACTTCTACAGCATGGTGGATTCGTTTTGAGAAGAGTGACCTCAGGGCTATCTTGATCCACAATCACGGAAAATAGTGACGTCTTCAGCTTTGATATCGTGCTCCTAGAGCTTGCCACGGGCCTGCGCCCTGTAACCGAAGACGAGCACATCGGGCGAATTATGTTCGATAGGAGTCACCCTCCTCTTTCCTCGCTCTCTACTTTTCCCCCGTGCCTTGCCCTGGTCCCCCCATCAGGGCTATCTCGATCCTCAGTACTTCCTCTGCGATCTTCTGACAGAAAAGAGTGACGTCTTCAGCTTTGGCATTGTCCTCCTAGAGTTAGCCACAGGCCTGCGCCCCGTAACCGACGGCGAGAACATCAGACGGATCGTGGTCGATAGGGTTACAAACCACGGCGGGGTGTTCAGTGTCATGGACCCAAGACTTAAAGCCATGTGTGGAAAGCAGCAGGCGTGGGAGGGGAGCGGGGAGGGGGGAGGAGAGGGGGGAGGAGATGGAGGAGAGGAGGGAAGTGGTAAGGGAGGGGGGGAGGTGGGGCTGTGTGAGAGTGAGGCGTTACAGGAGACGTTTGAGTGGTTTCTGCGGCTTGGGATGCGGTGCAGTCTCAAGCAGGCGCAGAACCGGCCCGACATGCAGCAAGTGCTCAAAGAACTGGAAGCAATCAAGAGGCGGCTGAACGGCACCTCTGCTTCTCGAGGTGCCGGCGGCGCTGGTGGTGGTAGTGGTGGGAATGGAAGTGCGCGGGACAATTGGGATGTGTTTAGTGGGGAGGGGGAGGGGCCGGCGAGTGCAGCCAAGGCACGGGCAAGGGACAAGTTCTGGGCTGAAATCGCTGCCTCGGCGTCGAGAGGAGGCCCGAGTGGGTATGCGGAGCGGGGGGACGGGGAGGAGGAGGGGGAGGAGAACTCGTGGCTTGAGGATCTGCTGAGTAGGAAGAGAGGAGGGCAGGGAGGGATGGGAGGAGAAGGAGGTGGAGGGGGAGGGGGAGGTGGAGGAGGAGGGGGAGGGGGAGACGGACGGGAAGGCGCAGGGGATGGGGAGAATACCTCGGGCAGCAGCAGTGGGAGTGTGTGGAGGGGAACGACGGGGGGCACTCCCGCCAGTGCCAGCGACAGGGTGACCGTGACTTTCAGCGGCACTGGCATGCAGTCTGAGGTGACTCTCAGGTGACAGGGGAGGAAGGGAGGGCAGGGATAGGGGATGCGCGACAACATGGGCAGCAGCAGTGGGAGTGTGTGGCAGAATTGCTGCCGATGGGGTGACTGACTTTCAGTGCACTGGCAAGCAGTCTGACGTTATTCCCAGGTGAAAATGGAGTGGGGAGTGGGGAGGAGGTGAGGGGGTAAGGAGGGGCATAGGGAAAGGCGATGGGGTGACTGACTTTCAGCGGCACTGTCGTGCAGTCTGAAGCAGGCCCTCAGATTCCAGGATGTTTGATCCTGAATTCCTGATTGTGAAAGCTTGCTTAGGTCCTCTTGTAAAGGCAGCGTGCTTCATTTCATCTGGAAAATATACATGGTTCTCGTCCAACAAATAACTACAGACAGAAGAGGGTGGGTGGGCGGGGAAATTGAACTAGGGAAACTAGAAATGAAGAACGTGGGTGAGGTCGAATGGCCTCACGTCCCTCTTTTGTAGGCAAAAGAGGGTGAGCAGCGCTTCGACGCTGCCTTTGCTGCGTTGGCCCTCGCTACACTTTCAAACTTTTACATACTTAAAGGATGCCTGTTAGGTGCCCATTGTCACGAAACTAGGATAGCTAGGAAGACATGGAATGGCGAGAGGTTTTAGGAAGGGAAAAAGTTACGCGAGAAAATAGTACGAGGGAGGGGGAGGGGGGAAGGGGGGGGGGGGGGGGGGGGGCTTCAGCAGCACGCCCGTGGCTGGCGTCCTGCGTCGAGGGCCGGCAGCACGCGCCCCTCACTCCTCGTTTCTTCCTATCACAGTGCCACTACAGACCCTGCACATGGACGTCTGGGCCTTGCCCCGGTCCATGGTCTTAGTCGGGAGCGCTACTTTCTAGTCGTCGCTGCCAATTTCTCGCGCTTCGCCACAGTGTTCCCACTAGAGCGGAAGGCCAACGTGCCTACCGTTCTCCTCTCGTGGCTTTTTACTTTTCACACCAACCACCGCCTGCCTGTAGGTCGCTTACACTCTGGCCGTGGTAGCGAGTTCGCCTCTGGCACTCTAGGACAGTTCTGTCATGCGGAGGGCATCTGCCGGACGTACACACTGCCGGACTCCCCACAGCGAAATGGGGTCGCTGAGTGAGGCATCGACCTGATCATGGAGGTAGCTTGCACCTCCATCGTCCACGCCGGTGCACCCAATTTTCTATGGTCGTTCGCCGTGCACTAAGCCGCTCACCAGGTTAACCTGTGGCCGCGCTCCCAGCAGCCACAGGTTTCGCGGACCCTCCTTTGGACAGGGTCTCCTGGTTACGCGTCTCTGTTCTACGTCTGGGGCAGCCTTTCTCACGTCCGCGACACTCGCGAACAAGCTCTCACCCCACCCCCTTCCTTGTGTCTTCTTGGGGTTTCCGCTTGACGCCTTTGACCGGCTATTCTACCACCCGTCACACCACTGCTTTTACCACTTTCGTGATTTTATCTTCAACGAGACGCTCACGTAATACCGGCAATTCCCACACTGCTGCACTCCTCTGCCTCCTCCTCCTCTCTTTTTTGTCCCTTCCCCGCCTGCCACACCCCTCTCGCCCCGCCCGGCCCAGTCTGGTGTCTCCCACGCCACTCAGTTCCCCTCGGTTGCGCCTGTGGGGGAGTCGGCTGACTCTGGGGGCCCAGCTGCTGGGGGTGCGCCCGCTGTCCCTGTGGCGCCTCCCCCAGCCTCGGTACCCCAGGCACCTCAGCCGCCTCGTCCCTTGCCTCAGCAGTAGCAGCCGTCGTCGCAACAGACTCAGCGGCCGCAGCAGCAACAGGGAGCATTGGGCTCTGGGGGTGCTAGTGTTGGCGGTGTTGGTGTTGGTGTTGGTGGAGTTGGTGTTGGGAGTGCTGATTCTGGGGGTGCGAGATCTTGGGGTGCTGACTCTGGGGGTGCTGGTTCTGGGGGTGTGAGTTCTGGGGGTGCTAACTCCGAGGGTGCTGGTTCTGTGGGTGGTGCGTCCGGGTGTGCTAGTCTTGGGGGTGATGTTTTGTGGCATGCCGGTGGCAGCTGCAGTGCCACTGGAGGTCCTGGAGAGGACAGGGAGCAATTGCAGCCGCAGCAGCAGACGCAGCAGCAGCAGCAGGCGCAGCCTCCGCAGCAGGAGCAGCTGCAGTCTGCCCTTTGTCTCCTTGGTCTTGCTCCAGGGTTTCCTGTCCGTCTGCCCGTTCCCCCTCCGGTGCGTGACTCCGTTTATGGCCCGTTGTTTCCCACTCCGGACTCCTCTCCAGCTCGTTTCCCCCTGCGCTCCCCTCCATCCCCTGACTTGTCCCCCGTTCCCCCTCGTCCCCTCGTCCCCAGTCCCCAGGGGCCCTGGGAAGCCTAGTGGATACAGGCCATGGAGGCTGAGAAGGCATCCTACAGATCCACATGCACTCATGTCGACGCAGTTCCCCCGCCTGGGGCGAACGTAGTCGATGGCATATGGATCTACAGGGTGAAGCGCGCACCTGGAGAGCCGTCGAAGGTGGCTAGAGGCTTCAATCAGCGTAAGGGTGTGAGATACTTCCAGACCTTGTCCCCGACCCCGAAGATGACTACACTTCGGGTCCTTCTTCACATAGCAGCGCAGCGTGACTACGAGCTTCACTCACTCGACTTCTCCACAGTGTTCTTGCAGGGTAGTTTGCACAAACAGATCTACCTCCGGTGTCCTCTAGCCTTCTCTAGCTCTTTCCCACGTAGACCAAGTGGAGCCTGCGTCGTCCTGTCTACGGCCTTCGTCGGGCACCCGTGAGTGGCACGACACGCTTCGCACCACTTTTGCTGAGCTGCAATTCTTTCTGTCCTCTGCTGACCCCTCTCTCTTTGTTCGCACAGGTTAGACACCATTCTACATTCTAGTGTAAGTAGACCATCTTATCTTTGCTACTCCTGACAGAGTCGCACTGGCCTCAGTAAAGGCCGAGTTACTTACGAGACACACGTGTACAGACTTGGGGGAGTTGAGGCGTTATCTGGGCTTGGTGATCTCTTGTGACCGCGCCGCTCACACGATCACACTCTCTCTGTCCCATATGGTGCAGTTGATCCTCCAGAGGTTCAATCTCCAGTTCTCCTCAGCATAGCCCACCACTCTGCCTGTGGATCACAAGCTCTATGCTCCTGTTTTGACTAAGTCGGTCGAGGCAAGTGGTCCATATGTAGAGCTGGTGGGGTGCCTCATGTACCTGATGACCTGCACTCGACCAGATCTAGCTTACCCTCTTAGTCTCCTTGCTCTCTTTGTCGCGACAGGCAGGCACCGACCAGTCCACTGGTTGACTGCCAAGAGGGTACTGTGGTATCTGGCAAATACATCAGGACTAGGGCTTGTGCTAGGAGGACAGGAGCCAGTGGTGCTCAGTGAACACACAGACGTGTCGTGGGCCGACAAGTTGGAGACGCTCTGGTCGTCTCAAGGCCACTGCTTCAGTTTTGGTGCTAGTGCAGTCTCGTGGAGGTCCGCCAGGTCGTCGTCTGTAGCTCAGTCCAGTTGTGGGGCAGAGATCTACTCTGGGGCCATGACTGCTCAGGAGCTCCGCTGGCTATCGTTCTTGCTCACTGACTTAGGTGAGCAGCCTAGGTCTGCCCCAATCCTGTTTGCTGACAGCAGGGCCATGATCCTCCTGTGTCTGGAGGCTCGAGTTGAGGGCAGGGCGAAGCACATCTAGCTGCGGCGGTACTTCTTGCTGCTTAAGTTGCAGCAGTGCCGTCAGGTTCGTGTAGTACAGTTGGCCTCCGAGGCCAACACCGCTGATATCTTTACCAAGGCACTTGCGCCTCATGACTATCAGCGATTATGTAATCAGCTTGGTCTAGCCTCAGTAGCACCACCACTTCTTGTATCCTGAGTCATTCCAAACCAACCTATACTTGTTGTTCTATGCTTGTCTTGCTACACTTGCTGACTGGTTTTGTGGCCTCTTGTCTCAATGGTCGGACTAGTAGTGCTACCCTGACTTTTCTTATTACACTCACCAGAGGTCAGACAAGTAGTGTTGCACTGGTGTACTTTTCTTTGTTATGAGCTGCTACTATCTAGGCTAGGGGGTGTGTCAACAAATATACAGTGGCGGAATAAATTGTCCACATGTTCAGCCTTTTTTGGCATTTTGATGAGTGCAGCGGCGTAAACATTAAGCCTTAATGTATGGTGTGCATACGCACTGAGAAGATCAGTTAGAGCACTCACTCGAGTTGCCAAACACCAAAGTAGTACCACACATGGTCCTTAAACACCTAAGCATAGCATAGGATAACATCCGGACAATTTGTACCAAATACAGGGAGCATACTAGATTCTACGAAAACCAGTACCTAGTCCATCGTCCCTTTGCCCGAATCACTGCCTTGATCCTCCTCGTCAGGCTGTCGATCAGGTTTGCACACACCTCCGCCGGTATCTTGTCCCATTCCTCCTGCACCCTCTCCCACAGCTCCAGCATTCCACTTGGCGGCTTTTCGTACTTCCCCAGCTGCCTTTTCAAGTGTGCCCACAGGTGCTCAATCGGGTTAAGGTCCGGGGAGCACGACGGCCATTCCAGCACCGCGTACTCCTGCTCCCCAAGCCAGTCTTGGACTAGACGAGACCTGTGCTTGGGATCATTGTCGTGCTGGAAAATGACCTCTGAGGGGGAAAGCTTGAAAAAACCGATGGTCTGTTTGAGCTCATCTTGCAAGATGCTGCGATACAGCAGCCCATCCATCCTGCCATCTATCTTGCACATGAACCCCGCCCCCTCATACGTCATGCAACCCCACACCATCACAGAACCGCCCCCATGCTTAACTGTCTGTTGGACTTGATGGCTCCGAAGGCTGGTGCCCTCGCGAATCCAGGCGTACGCACGTCCGTCGGAGCAGTAGCGGTTTATCTTTGTCTCGTCAGACCAAACCACCCTCTTCCAGTCCTCCAGCGTCCAGTCGGCATGCAACCGCGCGAAGTCGAGACGATCTCGGATGTTTTTCGATGAGAGCCTGGGTTTCTTGGACTGATGCACGGCGATCAGCCCCGCGGATCGTAATGAGTTCCTGACCGTCTTCGAGTCTACGGCGAGATCGTGTTTCTCCAACAACATTTTTGCCGCGTCTACTGAGCTTTTCGCCTCGCCGCTTGTAATCGCGCGTAGTATTCCGCACTGGAGACGGGTAGTGATTAAGCGGGGGCGGCCGGCCGAAGGCATCGTAGGTCGCACCTCCTCGACACTAGTCTTGGCAGCCACTTTCAAACCGTAATCGTGCATGGTGCTCTTGCCTATTCCAAGAACTTTGCCTATTTTCCTAGTCGAATGCCCCGCACGCAACATGTTAAGATTCGCGCGCACTTCCGCTCATTTAACGGCTTCATGGCGATGCGGTCGTAGGCTTGCTTCCGGACTAACTCTTGAGCGGACAACTCTTGCGCGTGACGATGTACACACCGAGTGACGGGGGAAAATAGATCTACTCTTCCGCTCGGTAGGAAATGTCTGCATCGACCGTCGAGGAGTAAATTTCAACCCCACTTTCCGATTGTGTCACAACCGCGCCAAGCAAGAAACGGTTGAAGCAGAACTCGAAAACCTTGTAACGGAATGGCAAAAAACGGGTGTTACTATTTTCGAAACATGTGTGGCATAGCGATATGTTTCAAAGTGTTAAACATCCGGGCAATTTATTCCGCCACTGTAATTATCTAGGCTAGTTAGTTTATATTTGCTATAGCCTAAGTTAGGTCAGTTCTTTGAGGGTACAGTCCTACCTTTGTAATCCTCGGCATTTTCCCTTAGTCCACCATTCTCTCGACAACCTAACAATCAGAGACAAGATCCTCCCTAGGACTTTTGCATTTTTTTATCATCAGAAGCCCTTATTTCCAAATTCTGATCATCATAAGCCCAGATTTTCAGTTTTTCTAATTTCAGAGAAACCACAAATATGTTTTTGGAAAATCAGAAGTTTGAAGTACTACCGTAATCACCCGGATAGACGCCCCTCCGTAGGATTAGTCCCATGGGCTCTAACTCGTGCATTGGGACTTATAAGCATTATTCGATTATACGCCCCTCCTCTCTGCTCCAGATCAAATCCCTATACGCCCCCCCCTCTTTTCAAACAGCATTTTAAGGAACTAGCCAAGATAGGCAAAATGCACTAGAAACATAATTTTTTAGACAGTTAGAAGTCATCCTATTCAAACCTTAACCTGGGATATGCAACACTTTCAGGCTAGCATTGCTTACCGCACATTAGACCTAGTACTACTCCTAGTCTACTCCTACCCCTCCTCCCTTTCCTCTTCATCCTCCTCATCCTCATCCTCCTCATCCTCCTCATCCTCTGCAGCCCCACCCTCAGCGCCTACCGAGTTGTCTCCAGAGAAGCCATCTGCCTCGACCTCGTCATCAACATCCACCTTTGCCTCTCGCTTGTTGCACATGTGCTGGAGGGTCAGATAGTCTTCACTGCCGTCGAGTGAGCTGCTGATGCCACACGTCTTGAAAGCCCTCTGAATGAGGGCGGCAGGGATGGCCCTCCACGCCTTGGAGACCCACTTCAGGATCTCCTCCGGTGGAGGCTTCTTGAGGTTTCCTGCGCCAGCAAACATGAGTAACCACTCAGTTAGGAACATGTTTACAGAAAACAAAATGTTAAAAACAAGCAAGATACTCACCCTTAGCGGTCTTGGAATACATCCCCACGGAGTCAAACCATTCCTGGTAGTATTGCCTCACCCGAGCCTTGAAAGCTCGGATGACGCATACGTCCAGGGGCTGCACGACGGAAGTGCAGCCAGCGGGGATGACTCCGGGAACGACAGCAAGCTTCCCGTAGCATTCCTTCACTTCAGGCGTCAGGTGACCACGGTAGGAGTCAAGAATCAGTAGGGCAGAGCGCACACGCAAACCAAATCTTGGGCGGATGAAGGGCTCGACGGCGTTTTCTAGCCAGGTCTTCACACCGTCCGCATCCATCCAGCCATTGGGCTGTGCCGCAACGACGACATCTGCATAAAGACAGAGTATAAGCTTGGTTAACGCGATTGAAAAAACAAGGAAAACACACAAAAGCCGCGAAACTAAAACATACCAGCGGGGAAATCCCCTTGAGGGACGGTCTTCCTCTTGAAGTAGACCCACGGCTTCCGCTTCTCCCCCCCTGCCGTGCACGCGAGCATAACAGTAACTCGCTCCTTCTGGTAGCCAGCGGAGCGGATAGGGACAGAGTTGACGCCGACCTACTCGACGGTGCGGTCAGCCGGCATCTCCAACCACAGTGGAGTTTGGTCGGCGTTGATTATCCAGCGCTCTTCAATGCCGTACATCCTCCGCACCTCCCTGCAGAATCGCCAGAAGTTTTCGACCTCTGCCGAGCAAACTGTGGGAGGGCAGTATGGGAATTCGAAAAGGACACGACTTAGTACAACATTCGTATGGAGCGACAGTATAAACTCGAATAAGAGAGTACGTACATAAGCGGAAAGAAGAGACAGAAACGGATGCAATGACGGTGCACTTACTATAGGTCATTTTCTGACCGACTTTCGTCTTGGCGCGAACCGACAGATTCCACCTTGATCGGAATCGTTCGGTCCAGCGGTAGGAGCCCTGCCATTTGACGTTGGGGTGAAGAACCTTCATTAACTCCCGTGACCACTTCTGCAGCCTTGACACCGGGACCGGAGTTCCCACAGCGCGCGCGGCGAGAAGCTTCGAATACACCTGCGTCTCCATATCGGCGTACCAAGAAGACCTCCCCTGCCCATGCAACCTCTTACGGCAGCCGTGGGCAGCTCTTAGCTCCTCCTCGTGCTTCGACCAGTCGTTGATGCGGCGGCGCGAGATTTCAGACTTGCGTGCGACTTCATTCTTCTTCTTTACCTCTTTCAGTCGGTCCAGCCAAAATAGCTTCTCCTTCGCCGTGTAGGACTTTCGCTTCCTCCCGTTCATCCGATTCCTGGGGGATGGGGGGCAGGCATCTCGATTCACAGAAGAAGGATGTGGCGGTTTTCTGCCCTCGGGAAACGACGGCACAGGGTTTTCGTCCGACGATGACGACGTGGAGGCGTGGCACGCTGGCGACGAGGACGACGAAGAGGATGAGGAGTAGGTATTAGACTCATTTCTGACTGGGCTTGAGCCCCTCTAGACCTTGGTAGTGTTTAGATGCAGCTTCAGTAGCTAACTCTTGACTAGAATTTGAGGCCTGCAAATGCAGCCGTACTAGAACCTTCCATGATGTACTTCAATTCTTAGTATTGATTCGATTACATTGTAGCAAAAAGGTGGGGGGTGTTATGTAAAATTCAAGGTCAAAAAAGCGGGTGCTCTCCTAAATGCACCCTATCATAAGCTCTATCCCGCATAAACCACCCACGGAGTGACTATTCCGGCGGGTGTTATATACGGGGAAATACGGTACATAGGGGAATGATATTTTCTTGTTACGGGTATTTTCTTTGCGCCAATTTACGAACCACATGTCGTAGCTCTGCCAAGCCACGACCATGTGCTCTAGGCTAGCTGTATCCATTCTCCCTGCTGTTTTGATGTTGCCTCAGTTGTATTGTTTTCCTCGTTAATCAATCCTTCGACGCACGCTCTTTGCGCTTCATTACAGTACATTAAGAATGATATACAACATGCTTTTTCATTGTACCTTACCCGTTGATGTTGTTGCCGCATCTACGAGGAACTTCATCTGGACTCTCCAAATGTATTTTCCTTCTTTGCTCACCAGTTACCACCACCTGTCCATTAGGGCGCGGGACATCGGAAACGTGATGCCAAAATCCGGACGCATCACTTGGCAGTCCGAACCACTCCCGCAGAAGTCCGGACCACCAACCGGACCACCCAGCTGAACAGACACAACCCACCCGAGGTTCCATCGTTCAAAATTCTATCACCCTTTCACGTCACCTTTTCATGCATTGCCTGTCATGCGCCCAGTGTGGTTGTTCGAATGTGGTCCTGGCCCCGTATGGACGACTATTTTCGTAGCCCATGTTCCATCGTCGGTATGAATTTTGATGGAGAATTTTGGCAACATGCGAAAGTACCTGGCGACATTGGCAAAAGCAGTAACCACGCAAAAGTCCGGACTTCATTGGGGATCACGAATTGGAGTCCCGCGCCCTTAGGGCGTGGTACATACAATCACGCCCTCAATCACGTGACTCAGTCACGAAAACACGAATGGAAAACGCCTAACACAGTTGGTACCTCCGTTCTCTGAACGGAGGTAGGTTCGGAGACCCAACCTGGTACCAAACATCCGAACATTTTACCAAACAATAAATTGGCGATTCGCGAAAACTCACGAATTTGACGAACAGGGAAGCTGGTTACGACGATCTCTCAGCTGCAGACTCCCACTTTCTGCTCCATCCCCCACTTTCGGCATTTTCGCGTATGCGACACGGGTGACAAAAAAATATTGTCGTGACTTTCGTTAAGGGTGGTGGGGAGGTGGTACCGCGGGCGACTGGAGTGCGATTGGAAGGGCCGTTTGAAACGGCCCTGGTACCTCGGTTTCAGAACTGACCGAATCCATCGCCACTCCATTCGCGAGAAAAGATGCTAAGGTTGGCGAGATGGGCTACCATGCTGTTTCCAAAACAGGCCTCAATCACGTGATTGTATGTTCCACGCCCTTAGGGCTAAGCTCACCTTGCCTAACTTGGTGTGCCGCCACCGGTTGGTCCTACCGTGCCTCAGCCTTCGTCGTTCCCGCCAAGCAGGAAGTCCCATGATCCCATTCCGTTAAATGGACATAATGACTAGATTATGATTAGGTCCATAGATGTTTGACAGCCTGTCCATTTCAGACACCGTTCCCCTACAAATCCCAGAGCTCTTCAGTTCAAAAGCCTATACTCGTGAAGCACCAGCGCGATGCTGGTGCGCAGATCAGTGATGCGACAAAAGAATACCGTGCCGGATGCGCTCAGCTGTCCGCCACGTCACGTTTTCTATCATCATGAGGCGATGATATCACGTGTCGTCCACTGGATTTCCCCGACTCATTCGTCCCTCCCATCCCATCCCATCCCATCCATCCCATCCCATTCCGTCCCATCCCATCCCATCCATCCCATCCCATCCATCTCATCCCATCCATCCCATCCCATCCCATCCCATCCATCCCATCCCATCCCATCCATCCCATCCCCCATCCCATCTCTCTCTTGGCGTCCACTGGCACATCCAAGCGTGCGCCCTGGCAATTCAATCCAACTGCAATTTCTGCCGAAGGTTCACTGTCCGTGACTGTCACTTTGTCCAGCAGTGCTACTGCTGCAACGGCCGGCATTGAATGCGGGGGAGGACTGTGTCAGTGCATCGTGGGTAGGGGTGCTGTGTGCACTGTGTTACAATTCGTTACAAGCCTGGGCGGTAGGTTTTGGCAGATATCTTCCGTCGCTTTGCTCCACTGGAAAACTCATTCGCAGGGACTTATGTCTGGGGACACAAATGCACATGTGTAGTTTGCAGCAGCATTTTAGCCCAAGAAGCAGCCATCTCTGAGATCATGGTCCAAGTAGGGAGTGAGCGGAACGAGACGGAGCAGCATAAGTCTGCAACTTTTTGAAGCTGACAAGAGTGAGCACAGCTAAGTAAGAGTGAGAAGCAGCATATGACCTCGCAGAACTCGTGACGAGTGGGCAGAACGAGCGTGAGCAAGAGTGACGAGTATGAGAGTGAGGAGAACGAGCCAGGAGCGAGCAGAGAAGAGTAAGGTGAACGAGAGTGAGTAAGGGCCAGTTAAGTGTCTGAAGAGCGTCAGCATCAGCAGCAGCATTGAGTCGCCAACGCCACTGGCGAAGCCTGCTGGAGTGACAGCAGCAGCGGCGTGGAGGCAGCAGCAGTGGTGGTGGAGGTGGCGGCGGCGGCAACAGCAGCAGCAGCAGCAAACACAGCAGCAGCAGCCACAGCAGCAGTGATATTCACAGGCGACCCAATCGACGGCTTGGAACGCCTGCGTTGCTACCAGCAACAGCCGCAGCCTCTGCAGCAGCAACGGCAGCAGCACTATCAGTGCCAAGCAGCAGCGATATCACCTTCACACATGGCCGAGCAGCATGAGCCCTCATTCACGGCGCACAACTATACTTCAGCTCGTGTGACGCCTTCCGGAAGAGATTCAAGCGTAATGGGTGATGATGACACCCTCAGATCTCCCTCACCCCAGCTGCATCATCACCATCCCATGAGTCATTACTCTGAGGCGCCTACTACCGAGCGTTGTCTCATGAGTCATGCTATTGACACGGCCTCGAGAGCTAACAGGAGTGTGACTCTTGGCACGCTAACAAACCCCATGAGTCACCCAGTGGGTGATGCACCGCTCCAGCAAACGTACGCTCCGCTCCCCTATGCAAAGTGATACGAGCACTATTAGTGGTCCTCCACATCAGCACCACCATGCTATGTCTGGAAGTCATGAGGACGCGTTCAGATGGAAGAAGGCATCGCACAAGCGAATCCGGGGTCTGCAGGTGAAAAGGTAGTGTGGCCTCTCTTGCTCCGCCCACTTGCTCGATTGCCAGCATGCTCTCTTTCCCTCGCCGCTCCCTCTTCCAGTCGTAGCCTCTCATTCTCTCGCTCTCTTTCTCGGACTTTCTTCATCTCTCGTTTTTTCACACCCTCCCTCTCTCTCCCTCGCTGCTCTTTCTCGCATTCCTTCCGTCTCACACTTTCTCCCTCTGTAACATGACGGGATTCGCCATGCATGTGCTTCTAGACATGCATGGGAATTCCCGAAAGGGATAGCTAGGTATGCATGGGATTCTCAGATTGAGATGCCTAGAGATCCGAACTAGACACTTGCTACCCTAGAGTCTTCTCTTCTATCTCTGCTGGAAGGATATGTCCAGCAGAGCATAGCATCGAGGCGCTATGCCAAGATGCTATGCTTGATGGACAAGCGACTATTCTCCCGAGTCGCCATGCCATTCCTTCCTAGTCTCCCTATCTTGTATAACTATCATCTTCTTTCCTATCTTCTTGATCATCTATCTTCTCTCTTCTTGGACCTAGTCTCCAGCCTAGTCGAATAAGCTTCCTCTCCTCTCTTCCCCTGCGCACCTCTGCCCTATGGCGCAGCCACGGCCGGTCTGGCCAGCCGTCCCTAGCTTGGCGGCGCCGTACCATTTCACCCGCTCGCAAACTTTTGCTTGTGTACTTTCTCTATTTTCTCCTTTGCTTTTCTCGCTCTCTCAGTCTTTCAGCTGTTGCAAGGCTTGCACTCTTGCTCGCGTACTTTCTCCTTTCTCGCCTGCTCCCTTGCTCAATCGATTACTCGCTCGCTCGCTCGCTCTGCTGAGACCTCATGTATCTGCAGCCTTCACATTCTCAGCCCCACACAGAGCATAGTTTTACGACATTTCCTCGCTTTCTTGCTGCCTTGCTCAACCCGCTCGCTCCCCTGAGACCTCATGTATCTGCAGCCTTCACGTTCTCAGCCCCTAGCAGTGCATTCTAGACGTTAACTCCCTCTCCTTTCTCAGTCCCACGTTCTCAGCCCCACGTTCTCAGCCCCACGTTCTCAGCCCCATGTTCTCAGCCCCACGTTCTCAGCCCCACGTTCTCAGCCCCACGTTCTCAGCCCCACGTTCTCAGCCCCACGTTCTCAGCCCCACGTTCTCAGCCCCACGTTCTCAGCCCCACGTTCTCAGCCCCACGTTCTCAGCCCCACGTTCTCGGCCCCACGTTCTCGACCCCACGTTCTCTGGCCCACGCTCTCGGCCCCACGTTCCCAGCCCCACGTTCTCCGCCCCACATTCTCGGCCCCACGGCCCCACGTTCTCGGCCCCATGTTCTCATCCCCACGTTCTCGGCGCCACATTCCCAGCCCATAATTTCACTCGCTCTTGCTCTCTCTCACTCTATCGCCCTCTACCTCACTTGCTCTTCTGCCATGAGCCATCACCTACAGCCATCACCTACAGCCATCACCTTCTCAGATCCACCCATAGGAAAGGAGATGTCCCCACACAAATTCTTCTCTACTCTCTCGTACCTAGCTTGCTCTCCTGTCATCATCTATCTGCAGCCATCTTGTTCCCAGCCCCGCCCAGAGCAGAAACATATACTCAATACTTCCTCTCCAGTCCCTCTTGCCCTCTGGCGCTTTTGCTATTCTTTCATGGGCCTTCACGTATCTGCAACCATGAAGCTCTCATATATTGACACTGCTGTGGGCAACATTAACGTCACAAACCCGAAACCCAGCAGCTGCTTTTGATGGGGCTCAAACGAGGGTCCATGTTTTAATTTTGACTGTTTGGAGGCAGTTGCTGTCGCTCTCTAGGCCCAGCCGTCCTTAACACTCAGCCTTTTCTGATGTGTTCAGTCGTCTCCCCCCAAACCCCGCCCTCAGAGAGTGTTGTTATTGTGTGTGCGAGTAAGCAATCAACTAGCTGCTCTCCAAGGAAGGAGACCAAAAACCTGTTCAAACCCATACCTCCTTCCCCTCCCTCCTCCTTTTCACCCCCTTCCCCCTCGCTGCAGGCTGTACTTCGTGTGTGCGAGTAAGCAGTCAACAAGCTGCCCTGCCAGGAAGGTGGAGGACCGCGTTGCAGGGGAGGCCAGGCCCCGCCGCCCCTACCTAAGAGGCGGAGCCTCAAAACCTGTTGCAGGAAGGGGCAGATCTCGCAGGGGTGAGATAGGAGAGGGGGCGGGTTTGGTTGCAGCAGACAGTGCAGTGACTGCAGGCAGGGGTGAGAGTGGAGAGGCAGCAGTGGCGACTACAGGCGAGGAGGAGGTGGTAGGGAGCTCTGGCTTGGCAGCAGATGCCGCCGCCGCTGCCACCACAGCAGCAGCAGCAGCAGGACGTGCGTTGGGACGTCCAGAGGAAGAGAACCCTGGGGTGCCGAGGACTGAGATGCGTGTGGTGGTGCGCGTGATGTACCGCGGCGCACATAACCATCCCCCACCTCTGAAAGCTTTGCAGGAGCGGGCTGTTATTTCTCCTGATACAAGTCCCCCTCATGCTTCTAAACCCCCTACAGCTACAACCTTCCCTACTGCCGTGACGTTCATTAGTGATAGAACTCTTCCTGCTGCTACAGCATTCCCTCCAGCTACAGCTCCACATCCTGCTACAACCTTCCCTACTGCTCCCCTCCCTGCTTCCACCTTCCCTACTGCCACAACGTTTGATAGTGCGACAAGCTTTTCTGCTGCTGCAACCTGCATTCCTGCTACAACCTTTGGTACTGCCACGACCTTTTCTAGTGCTACATCCTTCCCTATTGCTACAACCTTCCCTCCTGCTACCGCCTTCCTGCCTGCTACAACATGTATTCCTGCTGCAACATTTCCTCGTGCTACAACCTCCCAGTCACCTCCATGCTCTCACTCACCAGCATCCTGCACAGAAGCTGCAGGCCCCCCAATTTTTTCTCAGAGTGGATCCTTCCAGGTGCCTTCCTTCCCTGCACCTATCGGCATGGGTACAGCTACCTATTTCAACGCTCAGACTCCACCTCAACCTTCTCCTTCTCCTCCCCTTCCTCCTCCTCCTCAACCTTCTCCTTCTCCTCCCCTTCCACCTCCTCCTCCTCCCTCTCCTTCTCCTTCCCTTCCTCCTCCTCCTCCTCCCTTTCCTTCTCCTCCCCTTCCTCCTCATCCTTCTCCTCATCCTTCTCCTTCTCCTCCCCTTCCACCTTCCCCCCCTCCTTCCACATCCTTCCTTCCGCATCCTCCTCCCCTCCCCAAACCTTCATCCATCACTCCATCAATACCCACCACTACTTTCCCTCCGGCCGACAAGCCTCCTCAACATGTGCCGTTTCAAGCACACCCCTCCATGGCAGTTTCTTGTCAACCAGAGCTCACACGTGGAACTCCTGCTTCTGCCCCTGCTACATCTGGGCTTACCTCCAGCCTCATTCCTACTTCTGCTCCTACTACACCTGGCTTCAACTCCAGCCTCATTCAAGATTTTTCTCCTGCTACAGCTGCCTTTGCCTCCAGTTTCTCTCCTGCTTCTGCTTCTACAGCTAAATTTAGCTCCAGCCTCGCTCTTGCTGACCTCCCTTCCTTGCCTCTGCCCCATTATCGCCCACCCAGCTATTATCCACCTCTGCTTCACCCACCAGAGGCATCAGCAGACGCGGAAGCAGCGGCAGCAGCACTGGCAGAAGCGGAAGTATCAGCAGGGGATCCAACAGCCAGTCTCATTATGCCAATGGTACAAAAAACCAGTCATATTGCTTCGTGCCCAATGGCTGGCTCGAGTGCTGGTAACCCCGGAGGAACAGCTACACTTGCTGCAGCAGTATCCGATTCATTTCCCAAGTGTGATGAAAGCAGGCTACGTTTTGAAGAGCATGTCATTAGAATCAAGCTAGAGCAGTGGCAGCTAGAGCAGCAGGTGCAACAGTTGCAGCAGAAACGGTGGAAAGGCAATTTCCAGCCACAGCAACGGTGCAATGGTCGGCAGGACCAACTAAAGCAGCAGCTAATTGAGCAGATGAAACAGCAGCAGCAGCTACATTGCCAGGAGCAACAGCAGATGTGGCAGCTGGAGCACCACCAGAAGCAGCAGCAGCAGCAGCAGCATCAGAAGCAGCCGCAACAGACACAAGATCAGCAAAATCAACCGCAGCAGCAGCCTCAGCAGCACCAACAGTGGCGGCAGCAACAGCAACAGCAGCACCAGCACCAGAAACAACAACATCAGCACCAGAAACAACAACATCAGCATCAGCAGCCTCAGCAGCAACAGCAGAAGTACCAGCAGAAAAAGCACCAGCTGCACCATCAGCAACAGCAACAGCAGCAGCAACAGAAACAGCAAAATCAGCAGCAGCAGCATTGGCAGCAGCAGCAATATCAGCAGCAGAAGCTACAGCAGATACAGCAGCAACAGCAGCAACAGAAGCAACAACAGCAGGAGCAGCAGCAGAAACAGCAGCATCAGGAACAGCAACAGCAGCTGCAGCAGCGGCAACAGCAGCAGGTCCTCTCAAATCTTCTCTGCACAGAGCAGCTCATTCCCCAAGCTGGCCTAAACTCCCCTGCTGATGCTGCTGTTGATGTTACACGTGTCTCTGCGACTGTCATGCACCTTCCTACGGCTGTAGTACAAGTTCCTAAGGCCGTGGCAGAGGTCCCAATGGCTGTAGCACCAATTCATACGGCTGTAGCACATGTTCCTACAGTCATGGCAGACGTACCAGGGGCTGTAGCACCAATTCATACGGCTGTAGCGCATGTTCCAACACCTGTGTCAGACGTCCCAAGGGCTGTAGCACCGCTTCCTCCTGCTGTAGCACAAGTTTTTATAGCTGTGGGACATGCTACGTTCACTACACTTGGCACTCGTGTGAACGAATCACCTGATGGTGTTGCTATTTCAGCATGTGATGCAGAGGTGTTGCAGCAGGGGGGAGCATGGGAGCAGCAGGCAGTGAGTCAATGGGAGGGAGATGCTCGCCTAGATTCCCCCCAGGATTACCCACAGCATTCTGAGCAAGTCCTGCAGCTGCCGCAAGCTGCAGATGCTGTGCATGGTGGATGCAGCAGCAATAGCCACAACAACGGCATGCGCTGCGATGAACAGCTTGCCCCCACACGCCTTAGTGACCTCAGGCTACCTGTACTCACCACAAGCCACTTCAACAGTGCCGGCAGTGCCTTGACCAACCCCAGCGCAGCTACGTCGGACAGTAGAACCAGCAACGTGTCAACTTACTGTGGCAGAACGAGCAACAACCTTCCATACATTCCTATGACTGACCGAGACAGCAGCATCAACAGCAGCGGTCCTAGTCTAAGCGGCATAAACAGCTGCTTCATGGAGCCATGGCAGCATCAAGGCATGGTGGACAGCAGGGAGCAGCAGGACGTGCCAAGGTTGCAGCCTGGGGCTGCATGTCTGGAAGAGCTTTATCTGCCCCCAACTGATATCACCACATGCCAGGCTATAATGAGCGGTTATGACGAATCAGATGTGGTTCCACTAGGTATGCACGGAAATGCGAATTGGTGTGATGACTTGGATGTGATTATGCTTGAATGTGCAAGGGAGGTGCTGCTTAGGAATGAGAGGAGTTTGTGATGATCAAGTCTTGTCTCTGAATGCTGTTTGGTGATTATTGAAGCTGTGTCAACATTTTATAATGACGCGGATGTAGACATGCCATATGGCGAATTTGTCAAGTATTTTATTGCAGCATCCTCCACTATATTTGACTACGAAACATGTTGGCTCTAAAAAACATGGCTGTGGTTATTACATTGTTGTTCGAGAACAAAAAAAAAATGTTCAACGCTTGTCGTTTGTAATTACGTTCTAGACGATCTGAAGTGAATGGTATAATCGCTTTCTAATGTAAATGTAAGGTAAATCCCTTTTCCTTACCGAGCCTCGCTAACATCGAGTACAGCCCTGACTTTCGGAAGTCCAGGCTCGGCCCGACATTATAGGTCCGAACTACGTTCGAGACCACCAAGCCTATACGCGGCGTCGCATCCGACACTTTCGAGTCCAGAGGCGCCCCAAACCACCTCGCGTGTGTTTCGTGGCCCTCCTCGAGGCCCCCTTTCTAGGTTAGCTGTGCTTGTATTTAGCCATGTGCTTCATTTGTACTCGACACACTTTAATCACGATCTCACTATTGCATTACTCAGCTCCCATCTGGAGATTATCTTACAGTTGGTATCAGAGCTATGTTCCTGCCCATTTAGGCTTCCGTAGTGAGGTAGTTTTTAGAGGGACCTCGCACGTTAGGAGACAGGAGCTGTCCACCGGTCATGCCGGAACTTCTTCAGTTTCGCCGACCTTGTCGTGTGCGCTCCATGTCTCTAACATTGTAGGTGCCCGTAGTGTCTTTAGTGGCGTTAGCTAGCTAGGGTAAGTAATTGTCAATACCCCGCCTTGCCGTAGTACTAGAAATATGACTCCCGAGCATATAGCGAAGCTGTCAGAGGCGGCAACAAGCGCATCAGTGCCGACAACGAAGGTCGGCGAAATGATGGCGACGATGGCGGCCATGATACTGGAGCTCGTCGCGTTGAAAGAGGAGAAAGTTAGCCTTCGCCAGGCGCTTGGTGTGACGCGTCAGGAGTTGCCTGTTCCCGTAGACGAAGATCGTGCGAGCGCGCATCAACCGCAGACGCATCAGCGGCACGTGACGACAGTTTGAGCGAGCGACAGGCAGTTGTGAAGATCAAACCTGCCATGCCCCCGCCGTTCAACCCACTGGAAAAGCACACCACGCTGAGTGGGGGGCCATTTGTCATGGAAATGTTCTTAAATGCCGTTGATGTGAACGACGATGAGACACGCATCAAGTTGGTGGTATCTTTATTATGCGGATCGGCATTAAGTAGGTGGCGACAGTACGTGATGTCACGAGGGACTCCGGCAGACCGGCAACAGTCGATGGACGGGGAGCAAAGATTGGCTTCAACTTCTACAGGATCCTTATTTGGTGTGGCCGACATCGTTACCTGGCAACCGTATGGTGCACTACTTCACAAGCGCTTCGAGCATGTATCCGTATGCGAAAACGCTCGTGTGAAGCTGCACCGGTGGCGTCAAATGGGCTCTGTTCTAGAATACACGTCATCCTCCCTCGCCATCTGCGACAAAAACGACGATCTATACGAGACAGAAATATGAGTCAATACATCCTAGGGTTGAAACCGGAGGACCGGCGCGAAATTCGTATGCGCCGACCGGCGACATTCTTGGAGGTGCAGCAGGTCGCAGAGGCATGGGACGAGAACAGTGTATGGCCAAGGACGAATTTCCGAAAGGGAAGTCATTTTCGAGGGCAGAATATATACCCATCCATCAACGGTGTGGTGGCACCGTCAGATAACCAGTTTTCTGGCAGGTGTTATAAATGTGGCCAGTCAGGGCACATCATGCGGAACTGTTCGAAGTTGCATAAATCGGGAGCTAACGACGGAAGGAAGCCAGGAAATGGAAAGCATCAGTAATAGTCAGCCCCCCTACTGATAAGGCTTCGTCGCCCAAAGATCACCATTCCCACGGAGTAGTTTTGCCGATCTATGTGATCGACCACACCCGGTTAAAGGGGAGTGAACCTGCTGATTGCCCTGTGCTGGTGGAAGGGCGTGTTGGCAACATAAGATTAAAAGTATTAGTAGTGCATAGTGGGGCATCACACAGTCTGTTCGATATGACAAGAGCAAAGAAGCTACAGCTGCAAAGGGAGCGGTGCATGCCCGAAATCGACGTGCGGTTGGCTAACGGCACGCCACTTGCAATTCGGGGGCGAGTGAAACACGTTCCCATTGATTGCGGCAGCTAAATCAATTTTGCCTCGAAGGTGCTAGCGACAACATCGGACGACTGCGATGCTCCTGGGGCGCGATTGGCTTCGCACGTACAATCCAAGCATCGATTGGAGGAATGGCGGCATTCGTTTAAAATGGGGTGACGAGTGGCGACGACTGCCGAAGTGGAAATTACCCGACCCTCGGCAATATTGGTGAACAACGTGACTATCAAGCGCGTGATGGCACGTGGCGTGGACGTCTACGCCGTCCAATGGATCGCATCAACGGAGGTGGCTGAACAAACCAACCTGGAGAAGTTGTGTGCTGCTGTACCTGAGGACCTGGCGAAGATCATGCGCAAATTCGAGAAGATATTTCCCGACGACCTCCCGCTCGGCCTACCACCCGAACGACCACACGATCACAAGATTGAGCCAATGATCTGACCGATCGAATGCAATGGAGGCTGAGTCAACCGAAGCTGATGGAACTGCGTATGCAAATAGATTATGTGCTGGAGAAAAAAACCATCCGCCCATCCACGTCACCCTACGCCGCGCCGATTCTCTTCACCCCTAAAAAGGACGGAGGGCTTCGGATGTGTACCGACTATCGCGCGCTCAACAACATCACCATCAAGTCGCGTTTCCCGATTCCACACGCCGATGATCTAATCGACCAACTTCGCGGGGCCATGATTTTTTCCAACATTGATCTACGCAGGGTTACCACCAAATTCGTGTTGCCGAAGCTGATATTCCGAAAACTGCCTTTCGAACCCGTTACGGAAGTTACGAGTATACAGTGATGCCGTTTGGGTTGAAGAACACGCCGTCAACTTTTCAATTGACCATGAACAAAGTCTTCCGCTCGCTACTGGACAAGTACGTCATCGTCTACCTGGATGACATCCTGGTGTACAGCACCTCTCGGGAGCAACATTTGAAGGACCTGGAAGTCGTTTTTACCCTCTGCAATTAACACCGGCTCATCACCAAAGGCTCCAAGTGCAAGTTCTTAAAGGAGGAGCTGGGATTCTTGGGCCACGTCATCTCCACTGAAGGCGTTCAAATTGACCTGATCGTCAAGGAGTTGCAGAGTTTTCTGGGGTTCGTCAAGTATGTGCACCATTTTATCCCTAAATGGCAGTGTCAACAGCCCCGCTAACTGACTTGGTGCAAAAGGGAGTTTTTTATGAGTGGGGTGAGAGGAGCAAGCTGCGTTTGACCAATTGAAGACTTTTCTCATGACCCCACCCGTCCTTCGTATCGCCGACCCCAACCGTCCGTACGAAGTGGTTACGGACGACAGCGACATCGCCATTGGCGCGGTACTGTTACAAGACTTTGGCGACAGTCTGCAGCCAATCACCTAGGGCTTGCACAAAATCCAAGGCATTGAACAGAAATACCCGGTTCACGACAAGGAAACGCTCGCGGTTGTCAACGCTTTCAAGACCTGGCGCTGCTACCTGTCAGGTGTCGACGTTGCTGTCTAAACAGACCACAAGTCCCTACAGATCCTCTGAGCCCAACCGACCCTCAATCCACGTCAGATTCATTGGCTCGAATATCTCGAGTCCAACTTCCACTACCGAATCACCTACAAGGAAGGGGTAAATAATATTGCCGACGCCCTTTCTCGCCCCACTGCCCATACAGCCGTCATACTAATCGCCCAAACTAACCTGTTGCTAACTGGACTATTTACCCACGGTTACAATACTGATCCCCTTTTGACCTCTAACGGCCACCAAGCCCTGACCACCCAACGAGGCCACTACCACCTAAAAGTTGGTACTAACCGTATTTGGGTTCCATCCTATCAATTGTTACTAGAATTACTTATACAGAAGGTTCATGACGCTAACTATTCTAGACACTTCGGGGTTGAGAAAACCTTGAAAATATTCCAACGTCATTATTACTGGCCGAATGCTAGCCATCCAGTACAGCAATATGTGACCTCATGTCCCACCTGGATTACTGCAACCGTTAGAACTGCCCACAAAACCCTGGACGCACGTGTCCATGGACTTCATGACAGGATTGCCGGCCGGCGCATCCCAAAATGATGCTGTACTCGTGGTCGTTGATCGAATCACGAAAATGGCTCATTTCGCGCCATGTCAAACGACAATCACAACGAGCAAACTGCCAAGCAGTTCATTTCAGCCATCATTCGCCTGCACGGAATCCCGAAGGCGATCGTGACCGATCGTGACCCCAGATTTACGTCCAACTTCTGGAGAAAAATGTGGGAATAGTATGATACACGTCTCCATCTCTCCACGGCTTACCACCCACAGATCGACGGTCAAACTGAACAGACAAATCAAACCATGAAGCAGCTGATACGGACAACCTGTACCGACCTGGTCCAATGGGAAGATTCCCACCCTTTGATCGATTTTGCATATAACAGTGCCCCTTCATCCACGACTGCCCAATCACCGTTCTACCTGAACTACGGTCTAAACCCCACAACTCCCACTACACCCTTAGTAGAGAGTCTTGCCCCACGATCGCAACAGTTCGTGAAGGACTTCATCACCAAAAAGGGCTTGTCCCAAAGGTGACCTGAAGGTCTAAAGTTTGGCAAGGATCTCAAAAGTGTCATTTGGGACACAATCGGGTCACAATCAGGCCAAAAAAATGCACGCAAGTGGCCTTCATTTGACCCAATTGCGACCAAAATGTCTCTTTTGGGATCCTTGCCAACCTCTGGACCTTTAGGTTACCTTTGGGACAGTTTTGGGTTAGATTTGGGACATCACTTTTTGGTGATGTTACAGACTGCACAGAAAAATGCTATCGAGGCTATTTGAAAAGCCAACCTTACTGCCAAACGGTACGCGGACATGCATAGACGGGATTTACCCCTGGCTCCTGGGCAATTACATCTGCAAAAAATTGCTGACCCAGATCTGACCCCCCCAACCCGATGTCCCCAGTTGAACCCACCAGACGCTTTTGGGTCAGTTTTGGGATAGATTTGTCACCAACTGTCCCAAATCTATATGTGCCCGAAACTAGCCCTGTCCCAGAGGACACCTCCAGCATACTGCCCAGTAGAAGATGCGGGTTCAGATCCCACCACTAACAAATTGTGCACACATTTGGACAGCCTAGTCAGGCCCCGAGTCAGGCAGGTTGATGAAATTCGGGTGCGGGTAAAACGACACTTGCACCAGACACATGTAGCTATGCGAACAAGTATTCAGCAGGCACCATTAAGTGATGGCCCACAAGCAACATACAGAACTGTCAGGGTCAGAAATAGGGGGAGTGTCATGGCCGGCCTGGGACATTGAAGCACAAGCATGCATCCCTTTCACCAGAGGAAACGGTTCACCAGGAACATGCCCTGGTGTGTGAAGCTTGGTACGATGTGTGCGAGGGATAGAATGATGTCCACATCAACAACCGCATAGGCGTCCACCCCCACGGTGGGCTGTAGACGCTGGCAGCGAGTGTAGGGGCACAGCCTGTCAACCTCAGTGAAACACTGCACGAATGCACACCACACCACCTCCTGCTCCACGCCAATGAAATGAAACAGCATCAGGCATCGTCCAAACCACACCTGATGCCGCATCCCATCAATGCGGATGTGGCTGAACCATCCCGTCTTGGGGGATGCCTTTACCACCTACCCATTGTCGCTCCGATCCATGCGGTCGTGCGGCGGCATAGTAAGGGCCGTGTGAACCTGCATGCACGGGTGTGGACGTGACAGTGTGCTGGGAATGGGGAGGAGAACGGTGGGGGAAAGTGGGGTTGTATTCCAGGTCCCCGTTTGACCGCCCTCTAATAACTGAAGCTCCACAAGTGCTCACAGAAGAGGAGGCCTTCCGCCAAAAGCCATTGGAGAGGGTGTTGCACGTGAACTTATAGGGGCAGCTAATCCGGGTAGCCTACCTTCACCATGGTTACATGCAGGTAGAGCCTTCCAAGCAGGTAAGCAAACCGCCACATTGCTTCGTCCCCCACCGCATCGCAGTACGCATCCCACATGTCGTCGCCCATGCCCCCGAGCATCATGCTGCGGCTCCTGCGTGTCATCACACGTGTGTGGTGCTGCACTGCCTGCAAAATCAGGTGTGGGACACGCACGTGGGATGCACATCAGATTTGAGGCAATTTGCTTGGGGGTGAGGGAACTGCCAAGGGGGGGGGAGGGAGGGGAGGGGGGGAGTGGGAGGGGAACGATGGAGCATGGCGTTCAGGTTGAACCGTGTAAGACAACCCCACAGCCAACTACATGCCGCACCTAAAACCGGATGACAAGCAGTGTCAGCACTGATGTGGAGTGCGATGTGTGTGGGAGTGTGCGCTGGTGCAGGGCTGAACCAAAGGTGGGAGCCTAGGGAAGCACGGGCAGGTTTACCAGATGCAGAGCTGTCTCGTAGCGCTGATCTGCACCGCCCTCTTCCCGAGAGAGCTGCTTAATGGCGGTCAGGCGCTCAGACCGGAACGCAATATCCCAGCTGACATCGCGCCAGTTTGAGTTCTGTGCAGGCCTCTTCACCACCGACTTGTGCCGGTGCTCGTACTGGTTAGATGAGTACTCCTTTGGCATGCCCCGAGCCTTGATCGTTTCCACCATGTGTGCAAGCAAGTGGACCTTCAGGAGCTCGAATCTGGACTTCTGGTTGGGGAAGGCATCAGCCAGAGCCCCAATGAGGCTACTAGGAATGAGGATGGATTGTGGGGAGGGTATGGGACGGTGGCAGGCCGGGAGTGCAAGTGAGGTCTCGTTTTTGGGGCAGGAGGGTTGGAGACACCATGATAGGAGCAGCGGAATGAGCTTGGGTCGGAACAGCAAACATGAAACCAAATGAATCCGGGGCCTACTTGTCCGTGGCTGTGGATGCCGCCTCGAGAGACGTGTCGGTGTGGTACGCCACACGAAAGAAGGACATGTACCAATCAGCAAAGTCCACAATTGCGCTACCGAGGTCCTCTCGGCCGGGCAGGTGAGAGAAGAGAGGGAGGATCTGCATCATGGCATGGTGCTCCCACGCTGCAAACTGGGCGACCATCTTGAAGTACATGGAGGGGTCCGAGGTCCGGAGGATGGAGGCCGGTGTGTGGAGTAGAACCTGACGGCATTGTCTGCATGGAAAATCACACGGATGTGGACGGTATCGCTTCCACTTCCTCAAAGGGCGGGGGATGGGGCAAGGGGTACGGGCAGCTAACAAGTCCAGCCACTTATGCGAGAAGCAACCTCAGCTCTGTGAGCGTGAGGATGCCGGAGAGGCACTTCATCATGTGAAGCCACAGCACCTCGTCCAGCATATACACGAGGCAGATTCCGATCGCCGCGTACAGGTTCCCCAAAGAAGTGTCCACAAAGCCCCAGTCCCAAAGGGTGCACAGTGGGAAAAAGGAGCGCGTGCCACACACAAAGATGGGAAACCATGGTGGCGAATGTCGAGAGTGTCGGAGTCGGATACAGGGGGTGGTGGAGGCGGTTGGCCAGAGCCGGGCAATGCACAACACCGGCAAACGTGACGTACGGAGTATCGGCGGAAGCAGCAGAACAGCACGCACAGCAGTGCATGGGGCAGCCGGCCATAGCAGAATCAGCTCACACCTTTTACATGAGTCGATCCTAGCTCCCATATAGGGCCAGCAACCCCACTCACCAGAACAAACTGGGTGGACCACGCCCGGCAGAGACGATCCCGCTCCTCAGGGGATGCACACAGCATCTCCTCATACAATAGCTTATGCTAGGCGATAGTGCGGGGCTGGTGCTGCGCCGCCACACCGCGCAACTCCCACGGGTTGACGATGCACTTGGAGCAGGGCTTGAACGAGTTGGCAGCCATTGTGCAGGTGACTTTGCATGATTTCGGGTAGTCACAAACGTACGAGTACAGCAATGGGAACACCCGGTACATGCTGCCCTCGTGATCGGTAACCATGAGGCCACCACTGCCATACCACACCGTGCAGGTGGAATAGAGGGGTGGGAGTAGGTGGGTAAGACAATACCGAGCCAAGTCTATACACAACACATAGTGCGTTGAACACAGCAGGGAGGACAAGAACTCAGTAGCGGGTCGGGGAGGGGACCCACCTCTCCAGAGTGGAGAGAGCCATCAGTGGGGCGACGACAATGCGCTCGATCTCCTGGAAGGCAGCTGTCTTCTCCTCTGTCGACAGATCACCAGGGAGCGGGGGCATAAGGGCGACCACCTCCGTGCCACCCTCGATCCATCTGAACTCCTCGGGTGCGTTCATGATCGAGAGCAGCATCGGGTGAGCCAGTTTCTGGCCGTTAAACATCAGATGAGTGACGTCATTAAAGAGAATAACCCCCCCCTCCACAAAGCCGACCTCCTTCACTGCACCCTGTCTCGGCAAACACATTCCACCATAGCACGCAAGAAGTGCCACCATGAGATAAGGAGATGGTGGGGCCCATGGCTATGACAGTGAGGCACCAACACTCACATGCGCATCAAAAAACCACATAGTGTCCGCTGCCATGCTGTACCGCCTGACACCATCAACCGTGTTGTCAACAGGCATCGTCGCGAAACCCTCGACCGCCGACAGCAGCTTCCACATGCAGAGGAAGACCTATCGCGAGGGCAGGGGGTGATGCATGCAGAATGTGATGGTGCTTATAGCAGGGAGCACAGCAGGCCCTGACAAAGACCATTGCGACCATGCTTCCAGAACCAGCCCTTGACAGAACGCCTGCACGATCGGGCGGCATCGAAGTGTCAAGACCCCAAGTTCGCCGCCCAACTCTAGTTCCACTGTCTCCCACTCTCCCTCCATTTCCAAAAACTCGTTCTCAAATGTCTCCAAGTATCTGTGTGTCTCCCATCCATCCAGGTCTGAAGACGACCATTCCCTATTCTTCATAAGCTGTATGAGGTCTGTGATGGCAGCATTTGGCAGCATGTACGTGCGTGCAAGGACCGCTATCTCGGCCCTGATGTCCAGGGCCACTCTTGGCGGCCCCTCATCGTCGTCGCTAGAATCAACGCGCACATCAGGTGGGACGCCGTCCGAATCTTCGTCCATTGGTTCATGCGCGGCGGCATTGCAGAATTCGGGCGTGGGGTTTGGCGCTGCGGCTCGATTCAGGGCGGATGTCTATGGTGTGACACGAATCTGGATAACCGGCCTACGCTGTGAGTAATAGTGACCTACTCTGCGCCCCAGACACGCTAATCTTTGCTGCTCCGCTAAGAATCTACGGCTATGCATCTGATGCAAGCAGAGGCCCGTCCAAGTCGTGAAGCCTCTCCCGCAGAAATCGCACGTCTCTAAGGGCATGATGCCCACAGATCTGTGCAGCTCGGGAAAGAGAGGGTGACTTTGTCGAGGGTTTCTTACCTGTCGGTTGTACGTGCTGTGGAGAAGGTGTCTGATAGCCCCATTTGTTCAGGGTGGGGCACATTGAAGATTTCTTATACAACCAACAGTTTTGTTTTGTTTTGATTCAACATATATTTCCATGATTCGGATGCAAACATACATTTGGTTCCCTGCCACGAATTCACTGCCCTAACATAAAATATGGTGTTGCACATATAAACACCCATGTAACAACGACCTCCCATGAACGTCACCCTCTAAATGTGAACACCGGGCGTACATCACCGTAGTTGGTCCAAGGTGACTAGTCCTCACGCTGGTGCTTGGCTGTAGGGTCTGGCAGCAGTCGTTTCACAATGCACATGAACGTTGTCACCGTCACATAATCCCGAATCTCTGCATGCAGGGGGGCAAGGAATATTACAGCACGGCCTGCAAGCTTGGGCATCACCCCAGCCTAGGAGCATAACGGGTGAGTATGTTGCCAGCAGCGCACGGGGTTCGACCATGGACACCGACGATCCACATGACGCTCACCGTTGAAGACACCGACTGCTGGGCCGGATGGGGGGGCATCTTGGGTATTGGAGCGCTTGCGCTGCGTAGCGAGTACCACTCGAGGGAGTGTCCCACCATCGTCACCGCTGCACCCTGCACGGTTCACCACCCATGGGGAAAGGGGCAGTGCAAAAGGGTACCATGATATGGGGTCCACGACTATGGGCAACACCCTCGAAACAGGAGAACTGCTGGGCAACATCCTCATCCGTGGATCCGGCAGCACTTGACATTTTGAAGCAGGCATGGGTGGGTGGTGCGTCCGCCTTGCCGCGACGGTGCTTGAACGTCCTTGATCGGGATAGGAGCCGCGTGGGACATGCCTGCCAACCCCGCTCCTGCATGCTCTGCTCCCTCCGAGTCAACCGCCGCGTTAGCGCCACCTGCAAGGCACAGCTTCGCTCTATTACACTGGCACGCAACGTCCGCCAGCGCCTTGTATGCAACCAAAAACATGGGAAGACGCACCGATGGGATGGGCCGGTAACGGACCCATCTCCTGACCACGGGGGACTTCGCGCCGAACTTTGACCACTGTTGTCGGATCGATGGATTTAACCTCCACGCTTGGAGCCTTGCCTACACAACGGAGTCGATAGCGCATGGAGCCAAGCAGTTGTCTTGACGGACCAACAGTTTAGTGCAGCATGGTATGCCACTCAATAGTGCATAGTAGTGGGTGGAACATACCTGTGGCAGCGTTAGCGTTGCCGTCAGCGGTGGCAGCATCGAACTCTGTTTTTGTCCTGACCTGTGTCTCAGCGTTCATGGGGTCCGCCTCCTTGCCACCAGCCCCATCATCTGACTGCGTGTCGTCGTCCTCGTCTTCTATTTTCTGTCCCTCCCCAGCCATGATTGGTGATAGTGGCCTTTCGCGAGAGTACACGTGCGCGTTGGGGTTGAACGCAGGGTGTAGGAACAAGCCGTCCTGAAGCATCGACTCCGTGACGTACGGATCCTCCGTATCAGGAACTACAGCGCGTGCGCCCGTAAGGCAGTCCGCCCCCTTATTCAAGCGGTCGTATGTTCTATTACAACGCCCGCTACTCCCCACGGCTGGCGAGGAATGACGGTACAGATTGGCGGGCACGGACGGAACTGTGGTATGGTTAGGGTTTGTCAAGCGGCGGAGCAAATACCTTTAGAAGCGAGTGAGAGTGGACCCGTTACAGGCACCCATTTGTTGCATGTATCAATTGTGGGAGTATGACTTGTCAGCCAGGTGTATGGATCGAACACACAACTGATTGTTGACCAGTTATAACAAGGACGCGTTATTAAGAATCCCTGTTACACAATTATACAGGAAAAAATGTGCATTCTTAAACGCTGACTATACACTGCGTGGAGGGGCCATGCTGGTGGTAGTATGCACACCACAAGGCGTAATCTATCTGCAATTCCTCTCTCTACTGCGTGGAATTGCCATGTAGTACAATGTTGTTCGAATCTCTGAATCTGGACTCGACTAGCACCTGCATGTACTTCATTATGTAAATTCCACAGTCGTGTGCATTTTGCTGCATAGTAGCCTGCCATCCAGCAGTGGGAGTGGGGCAACCGGGGGATTGGTGAAAATGGGTTCTGAAATATACCCATCAACCAGGGGGGGACTTGTATGGCGTGTTAGGATGGTCACAGTTTCTGCACGCATCACATCGCATTATGTGTGGGACTTTCAACACAAGTACCTCGACCTGGACAAAAGGCAGGGAGGCAGACCAGTCGTCAGCCTGAATCTCACTTGCCCACGGCCTGATGCCAAGAAGCTGAAACCGCAAGAACCTACATATGATAACCAGACGCTTTCAGGCAGTCAGCGTGTGGATTATGGTGTGAACTGCTGGGAGATACACGACCATAAACTGCTCACGCACATGCACAGAATGCTGAGGATTCCCCCATGCATCCGCAATGGGTCTGCATGGTATATGTGTGTGGGATGGGGCAAGTAGTTATCGCTCTCTGCGACGTCATTCTCGAGAACAATATGGCTCCAATGGTCCCTGCTCAGGTGTACACAAGATCGGGAGACTGTGAGGGATATCACTAAAGCATGCATCTTCCGTAGAGCACATACAAGCCGCACCTGTAGTGGTACGGAATAAGAACGTGCTGGTACGTAAGGACGTTCTCGTCGTACGCATAGTTCCGCAGCGCGCTGTGCTCATTTTGCCTCACACGGCCCATCAAGTGCCATCAGTAGTAGAGCCACGCGTGATCGTCCAGATCCTCCTCGTATTGCATGAGCCTGCATGTCACGGTAAGAGATGGTCAGCACGTTAATACCAATCATGTATGTAGCTAATGGGCTAAATCCACATATGCCGTACATGCCAAACCAATCTAGGATGTCTCCACTCAAGTTTCGCCATGGAAGTAAAGAATCTGACTGCAGCTTGGTGAGCGACAACCGTGCCCCACCCAGTGGATATGCCATGTGGTACTCGGCAAATGACTTTGATGGCACGTCCAGGTTTACGTGGGTGACCCGCGACTACATGGCTCTACGGGCGGGTGACGCGGTGTGCTAGGGGAATCTACCACTCCTCTATACTTGTGTCTATGTTTCCAAAGCCCGTTCTACGCTGGACAGTACGCGGTGTTTGTTTGGGTGAATATGGATTTAGAGTATTGCATGCCTGTTGATAAACTGTTGAATAGAGGGATTTCCTGTGTCGAGTATGTTGATGATGGAGTTGCTCGTGTGTGTGTTGTCCATGCATGCACCAGCTCTGATTTGCCAGTGGTTGATTGTACCGAATTCCAGCTAATCAACAAATAGCTGTGGGTCGTGACGTGGATGAACCAGCGACCCTCCTGAGGTGAACACACAAGGATGTCAATAAGGCTGCTGGACCGCACAGGGCTTGCATGAAGACCTAGCACTGGTTCCATCTTAATGGTGTTCCTTTAGTTGCGGCGTTCGTTATCGACGGTAGACGAAGAGGCAAGGTAATATTGGGTTCAGCAGTGATGGTTTTTCCGGTTTTGTGTTCCCCCGTCTGCTCGTGTATACTCTGTGCATTGGCGAAAGACCATGTTACACCATCCAAATTTAGGGGTATCTCTAGCAGTCTCCAGAAGCCCCCTGGTTGCGAGCCGCCGTTCCGCACATGTCCATGCTCAAGGAAATGATTCCGGTGGTGTGGGTTGCGGGAGTTACAGTGGCGGAATAAATTGCCCGGATGTTTGACACTTTGAAACGTATCGCTATGCCACACATGTTTCGAAAATAGTAACACCCATTTTTTGCCATTCCGTTACAAGGTGTTCGAGTTCTGCTTCAACCGTTTCTTGCTTGGCGCGATTGTGACACAACCGGAAAGTGGGGTTGAAATTTACTCCTCGACTATCGATGCGGACATTTCCTACCGAGCGGAAGAGTAGATCTATTTTCCCCCGTCACTCGGTGTGTACATCGTCACGCGCAATAGTTGCTGGCTTAGGAGTTAGTCCGAGAGCGAGCCTACGACCGCATCGCCATGAAGCCATTAAATGAGCGGAAGCGCGCGCGAATCATAAGCATGTTGCGTGCGGGGCATTCGACTAGGAGAATAGGCAAAGTTCTTGGCATAGGCAAGAGCACCGTGCACGATTACAGTTTGAAAGTGGCTGCCGAGACTAGTCTCAAGGAGGTGCGACCTACGATGCCTACGGCCGGCCGCCCCCGCTTAATCACTACCCGTCTCCAACGCGGAATAATACGCGCGATTACAAGCGGCGAGGCGAAAAGCTCTGTAGACGCGGCAAAAATTTAGTTGGAGAAGCACGATCTCGCCGTAGACTCGAAGACAGTCAGGAACTCATTACGATCCGTGGGGCTGATCGCCGTGCATCAGCCCAAGAAACCCAGGCTCTCACCGAAAAACATCCGAGATCGTCTCGACTTCGCGCGGTCGCATGCCGGCTGGACGCTGGAGGACTGGAAGCAGGTGATTTGGTCTGACGAGACAAAGATAAACCGCTACTGCTCTGAC